TAAGAGCTTTAGCTTGGTTCTAGTTAATCTTAATAGTTTATTTATAAAGTCTAAAATAAATTAGAATTCTCGATTATTTATAATAATAAAGAAAGAACCTCGAAATTACTAGATATAGTAATAGAATAGGCCAGTAATAGTTCTAGCTATAGTATTCTTGGTTATTAATAGGCTTATATATTATTTGAATAATTAATTAATTATAATAAATATATTATTATATTCCTTATTTATAGAACTAGAAGTATAGAAATCTATAAACAAATTATTTTATATTCTTAAGGGAACTAGTAATAGATATAATAGGCCTAGTATTTTATTTCTTGGCTTATAAAACCTTTAATATTTATAGTAGTTTACTATAAAGTAATTAATATTTATAAAGAAAGTAGGCTATTAGTAAAATCTTTAAACTAGGATTTTTGTCTTATTTTAATTAGGATATATAATAGTTATTATATTATAAATTTATTATAGGAATCTAGTTTATAGATTATTATATCTATTTAGTATAATAAGTCTTTTATTATAAAGTATATAGCTATTTAATATTTCCTATAAATCTATATTTTTCCAGGCTTTCCTATATTTATTCTCTAGGACTAGATTTATTTAATTAGCTTATAGAACTTTAACTATAATTAATAGCTTATCTATTTTTTCTATTTTAGTAAAAATATAAGCTATATTTTTTATTTTAGTAAAAGTAAGAATTAGGTCTAATAAGATAACTTATCTAGTTCTTTTAGTTTCCTTAGCCTGCTTCTAGATTAATATAAGCTTATTCTTTCGGGATAAGATATTAGTAATAGTATTATTTTTATCTAGTTAATAGGTAATCTAGTAATAAAATTATAATAGGAAGCTTATTTATTAGATTTATTATTTATTTAAGAGTCTCTTAGTACTAAAATACTTGAGAGCTTTATAATTAGTAATAATTAGAAAATTAGGTAAGCTAATTAGTTCTATTTACTATTTCCGAAGTCCTTAGATAATAGTAAGAAGTTCCTTATTATGAATTTTATAGTAGTATTTGGCTCCTTAAAAGGCTTTAGAATAAAATAAGACCAGGTACTATTATCTATTTTCTGGGCTTTTTTAAAAAAGTATACTTATAATAGCTAGGTTTAAATAATTGGTTTCCAGGCAGATTTCTCTAGTATATTTAAAATAAAGAAATATAAAGATAAAAAGAAGTAGATTCTTAAGCTAATTAAAGGCATCTAGCTAGGTTTTATTAAGTATAAACTTTAGTAAAGTATTCTTTTTAGTTAAATAATTTAGAGAATAGAAGATATATTTATAGGCTTAGATAAACCTATAATAGAAGTTATAGAAGCCCAAAAACAACTATACTTCTATTTTTATTATAGGTTAGTACTAGTTTCGGATAATAGAGGTTTTAGTAAGATCTATTTATATATCTTAATCTGAGATAATAAATCCTAAGAATATTATCTTAGAGATTTCAAATTTATATTTATAAATATTAATTTATAATCCGGTATCCTAGAGCTTTTATAGAACTATTCTAATATACTATTAATATTCCTTTTTATTCTTAGAGAAAATAAGTATATTATTAATATAGGCCAAATAAAAGTTATCTAAATAGTTTATTAAGATAGTATTAATATATTACTAAAAAGTTACTAGACTATTATAGAGTTCAAATAATAGAATTACTAGTTTAAAGAATCTATATCTTATCCTAAAAGCTATTTATATTATGGAAATTAGTTCTATATAAATTTAATTAAAAGTATATTAAATATCTAATTTAGTAAATACTAATAATTCGGCTAATTAGTCGAGTATTTCGGTAATAAATAATAGGAAATAATAATTCTTTTTTATTATAGTATTTAGCTATTAATAATTAATATAAAATTATAAGCTATTGTTTTCCTTTTTAATAAATAAAACTAGTAATAAAAAGGAGAATTTAGATAGCTTAATAAAACCTTTTTTTAGGTTCTTAATAAGATACTTTCTTATTTTTTCGAATTTACTAGAGCTTATTTTATAGAAATAGGCTATTTTTAGTAAAGGATCTAGTCTATTAAAACGGAGCTTATAGTTAAAGAATTAAGACTAGAAAAGCTTATTTATTACTTTCTTGGAAAATGCCCTAGCTATATTATATAGTTATATAAAAAAAAATATCCGGAGTTCTTAAAGTTCTTTAGAATTAAAAGATAATATATTATTAAGAGTATTAGATTTATCTATATCTAGAGAATATATTAGGTTACTAGTTTAAGTATAATATCTAGTAGGCTATAATATTAGTTATCTAATTACTACTAGTAATAATAGATATATCTTTAGTTTATAATTCTATTTCTCAAATATATAGTTAATTTCATTAATAGTAACTAATTTAACTAAGGTACCGGAATCTTTAGTATTTAATTAGAAAATAACTATTCTAATAAAGTAATAAGAATAATCTAGTAGCTTGCCTATTTTAAGAATATTAAAATCTAGCTTTTTCTTTCTTATCTAGTATTTAGCTTTTCTTATAAGAAGGTCTTATAGAAAAATAAAAAATATATTCTTTTATTTTTCGGGTCAGGTTTTACTAGTTCCTTTTAGAATTCTAGTTAAAATATTTTCGGAATAATTATCTTTCTAATATTTCTTATTAAAATATCGGATTTTCTAAATAAGGTTTAGCTAATTTGCCTTATAGTTCTCTGGCTAATAGAATTAATTCCATTAATAGTCTAGTAGGATATTATATTTTACTAGTTATTTTCTTTCTAGAATTATATTATAAGAGCCAAGATTAGTAGTAAGCAGGTATTATTGAGTTTAGGAATACTAATTAATAGCTAGATCTATAATAGCTAGATATTAAATAGCTTTACTAGGTTATTTATTAAAATCTTATAAGGGAATAAAGGTTTCGAGTTTATATAAAAGTATTTATAATACTTTTATTAAAAAACAAATATACTTTTAGTTAATTAGAATATATATATTTATTCCGGTATTTACTAAATACTAGAAAATTATAGTTTTGCCTTTTTAGTATATTTAATAATTAATAAGAAACTAGTTCCTATTAATTAGCTAAATAAGATCTATAGGTTCTTAGTAAAGTTCTTATTCTAGGAAAGCTATCTTTATATCTAGAACTAGACTTTTCCCGATTTATTAATATTATACTTCTTATTAGATAATAAATAGAAGTTAGTATCCTTATTATCTATTCCTAAATTATTAGCTCTCTTTAAATAATTCTTTTTAATAGGTATAATCTTATTAAAGTCAGAATAGGTATTTTTTATATATCTAGGTTTTCTATAGCTATAATAATAAAGACTCTCTAGCTAGTCTAATCTCTTCTCAAATTCTCAATAGACTACCTCCTTTAGTTATAAGAATACTAGCTACTAAGGTTAATCTATTAGATATAGGGTTACTATAGCTTTTTAAATTCCGGTAAGCTTTCTAGTCCGGAATAATATTTAATAGCAAATAGTTTCTACTAGTTATTTCTTCTAGAATTACTAATTTTTAATTAAGAGAAGCCTATTCTCTTATTTTATATATTACTTAATAAGGTTTCTGGAAATATTAAACTTTTTATTACCTAAGTTTTTAAATAGCTCGAGATTTATTTTATTTATTAAATTATTATATTAGTTATCCGGTAACTTCTCTAGTTTTATTATTAAGTAAGTAAACTTTACTCAGAATACCGGAAATAGCTTATTTCTTTACCTCAGATACTAGTATACTTCTTTTACTTCCTAATACTTTATCTTTTTGCTTTTACTATAAGCTTACTAGAGAATCTTAAAGATCTATTTAATAATTAAGATCTATCTAACCGATTCAAGTTCTAATTAATTACAAATAAAGTTATAGGTATCTCTAGTAACTAATTATACTATATAAGTAATTTTTAGTAATTTATTATTAAATTTAGAAGAGTTCTATATTAGTTTGTTTCTTATATTAAATATCTAATTATTAATCTAATAATTATCCTTATCTATAAATAGGACATAATCCTTAATTCTAATAAGCTATAATTAATTACTATAAACTAAAAGTAGGAGGAAGCTTTAGTATTAGCCCCTAAACGGTTCTCCTAATAGGAACCTATAGTATTTCTGGATATTTATCTATTTAGATCTTTATTTTATTACTTCTTCTTATATTAGTCTTTTCTTTATATAAAGTTAACCGGTAATTGCCTCTAGCTTATTAATTTTCTTAGTAAATTAGTTAATATATAAGTGAAATTTCTAGTAGTATTCCGCTTATTTATTAGTTATAAGGTAATATTTATTAATAAGATTATCTTATATAAGTAATTTCTACTAGGCCTTATTTATTTTTGAAGTATTTATACTAATTTTAAGTTTCAAGTTAGCTAGCTATTTCTTAATATCTTCTTCTGGAATAATATTATAATAGCTTTCCCGGTAGTATAGGTTTATATATTAAAGTCTGGTTTCTCTATTTTATTATACTAGGGCCTCTTATCTAATATACCTATAATAGTAATACTTGGTTCCGGGCTATCTATAGTAGCTTTAGAAAAAATATTAGCTATAAAAATAAATACTAAGTAAGTTCTTCTTATTTAATATTAGTAAACTATAACTAATTATTATCTTATCTAGTTTTAAGTTAGTAAATTAAAACTAACTATTATCTTTTCTTGTTTTAAATTAATAGACTATTACTAATTCTTCCTATACTAGGGAAGGGAACTAGTTCTTTTACTTTTATTAGTATTAAGGGAATATTATCTGCTCTAGTTAAGAATTAGGCTTCGAGATTAACTGGGTTATAGAGAATAATATCTTTTTTCTTTTATATTAGTAAAGAACTAATTACTAGGAGGGAAATATTATCTGCTCTAGTTAAAGGTCAGGCTCCGAAATTAATTAGGTTATAGAGAATATTATATTTCTAGTTAAGCTCTCTAGTTCTTTATAGTTTAAGGAGATTATTAAATATTAAAAAGCAATATTCTATCTTTGCTTTTCAAGAACAAATATAGGTTCTTTACTAGTAGTATTATATTACCTCTATAGGCTAAGTCAAGTAAGCTTAGTATTATATAATAGCAGGATTAATATAATAGTTAAAGGCTCAAAGTTTAAAGAATCTTATATATTAGAAAATACTAAGCTATAGAATAAAATAGAGAGAATGTCTTAATCTTTAGTATTATTCCGCCCAAGTAATTCCGGCTTAGCTTCGTTTTATACCTGTTTCCAATATCCTGTCCTTAGTAGATTATGCCCTTATACTAGCCGTTATAAAAGTAATATAAGAGTCCTCAAAAGTAGTTATTAAAGGGTTTTAAATAAACTAATTTTTATAATAATTTAATAATTTTTTATTAAGTTATAAGAATCTTAAAATTAAAAAGTAAATCTTACTAAAATATTTACTTATATAAGATACTTAAATACCTCGACTATAAGCGACTATATAATAGAAAGAAGAACTAACTATTAGATTATTACCTAAGCAGACCTTATTACATATATTATACTAGATTAAATAGTTATATAACTTATGTCTCGTCTATAGTTCCGTACGGAAATATATATAAGGCCTAATGCTCTAGGGATCAGGGTTAGGGTTAAGTAAGGGGACTGGGCGTGGGTCTCAGTTAATAGAAGCGGGATTTTCCCAATAATCGAGGCATTATCTCCCGACATTAGTAAGTAATGAGGAACCTGCTTCATGCCATGGTTTATTATTAATACTGTCGGGAAAACCTATTTGCTTCCCGGCGCACTCTTCCGATCAATGCTAAAATGCTTGTCTAGAAATTGGAAGCTCTTCTGCGCCAACAGGGGCCAGGCTCCAATCTTGGCTGTTAACCCGCCGTCTGCTTCCTCCGTCGGGACCCAGAGTTCCTTGTTGCTCTCCGGCACCATGGTGAGCAACTTGTGGATCTTGAGCGCCCCAGCCTCTGCCGAAGAGTACATCTCGCGACCGGCACCGGGACCCGTGAGAAACACGGGGCAGGTGATCCTGTCCAAGACCTTCCCGTCCTTCTTTGTGTCCAGGGAGAAGTCCTTGAAGCGTCGCAGCATGGCAGAAAACGTCTCAACGCCCGTGCTGCTGGTGCCCAGGGCCAACTCCCATCGAGTCAGGAAGTCTGTCCTGCCCGCCAGACCCGAGGACCAGTTGAAGAAGCCGTCGGTGATCCAGCCCCTCTCCCACAGGCTGACGTAGAACTGGGGGAGGCGGGTCATGGCCAGCTCATACATGCTGAAGAACGGGTCGATGGACACGCATGCCTTGACGCGGGCGTCAGTGGCGGCGCGGAGGGCAAAGTATCCCCCGGTGGCTGCGCCCGCCACGGCGATCCTGTCCAGATCCAGCTGCAGCTCTGACGATCGAGACCAATTCTCGACAAAGGCCAGCACCTTGTCCGCAACGACCTCAAATTCAGGCCGCAGAGGGACTCCCGACTTCTTCAGCAGCAGGCCCTGGCCGGGGCCCTCCAGGCAGAGGACGGCGTAGCCCACCTGCGGCCCCGAGTGGCCGAACAGGAAGTGCAGCTCCTCCTTTGTCGAATCGGCTCCGCCAAAGTACAACAGGAGCGGTATCTTGCCGGGCAGTCGTGCATTCTGGGGAGGGAGATACAAGTAGCCGGGCATGCTAAAGCCATTTTCGTACGGGATTTCCACCAACAGGACCGCGCCGTCCATGAAAGACGTTGCGCGCACGAAGGCCGCGACCGACCTCTCGGACAAGGGCACGACCCTCGGATCGTCATTGAAGAACAGGTACGACGCGGCCCGGAAATAGTTGGCCGCGCGAAGGTATGCGTTCTTTGCCAGCGGCTTCAGGCCATCCCTCGCGGCCTCCTCGGCGATCGCCTCGGCCCGCTCTCCCTGTTCTTTCCAGGCGTCGTGCCACGACTCGGGATCGTGCTTCTTGATCTTGCCCACGGCGGTCAGGAATTCGCAGGCATCGCAGCCGCCGGCCGGCGTGCTGCCGAGGAGCCGGGTCAGCTCGAAATTGAACATGAACGAGTCGAAGAATTTGAACATGGTGGAAGATGCGCCGAAGCGATGCTCACGATGTCGAGGCTCGCTAGTTGGCGCTTCAAGCTCGCGTGGGAGAAATAAGTTAGATACCGATGTAGGGTAGGTAGGTAATGAGCTCAGCTGCTCGAGGAACCGACCCAGTCACCGAGAACCGATCGATACAGTCCCCAAGCGGACAAACTGGTGCATGTCGCGTAATCGACACGTCCGAATCCTGCCTCTTTTCAAATGTCCCGATTAGGAGCCGAGTCCGCGGTGCGTCGGCCGCCACAGCGTCAGATGGATTTTGGTGGAGTCGGGACTTTTCGACCGGCACTTTACATCTCCGCTCGACTTTCTTCAATTTGCTTCCACATTTTGTGCGGGTTGACGGTGTTTCGAGTCTAGCTCTTACCCTCTCTTTGGCTCTTATTATGTTTCTTGTCGTATCGGCATCGCGGCTCCATTCTGCCCATCCCGCCGAGCCAGTCTGAGCACAACGGGCTAGATATCCTTTACATTGTCCACACTGCGATCGATTTGCGCCTGATTCAAGATGGCTACCCCGTCAGATGTCTCAATGCAGGATCTTACGGGCTCTTGGACACTGGTAAACGACCCCATACGGGCAATACAAAGTTTCTCCCAAACCGTTTGACAGACAGTAACAGCTTCCAGAGTAAAACTCTTTCCGACCCATTTGACCGAGTCTTCGCCATCCAGGGCATTCCATGGATAATTCGCAAGGTTGTCAGCATCGCCACGTTGTCATTGAAGGCGACCCAGCAGGTTGACGAATCCGGAACAAAGACACTGGTCTTCACCCAGGCCGTGTCCGTCGCCATCGGTGGGCTCAGCGAGGAGAATGAAGTGCGCGTGCTGGATTGGCGAGAGGAATTCCATTCGTCGACTCTGTTCGGCACCAGCTCTCACCGGTCCCGCCTGGTAAATCTATCGGCTGCTACCGGCCACGACGGGAAGCCCTTGCACTCGTTCTTGAGCCAAGGCCTTCTGGACGAAGGGGAACCCGGAGGTGACAATAACTTGTATGATCTTGTCGTCCATCAGACCAATGGCTGGGTCATGGAACAGATATGGGGATTTGGTATGTTGAACGATGAGAGATGGCTTATGAGAACCATGGTCGTCAGGAAAGGCAACGAGGTGGCTACTGCCAGAGCCATTTATGACTGGAAGGGAAAAGAGGATGGCCAATAACGGGGTTACTCTGTATAGTTCAAGAGCAGATACTCTTGGCAGTTATCAGCAAACGTCAACCTTCCTTTTCCACGAGCGTACCATGATGCCCAAGAGTCATAAGATAGGTTACCTTGGTTACCTCCATCCACGGATGTTCATCATTTGTGCAGTTTCTTTGCATGTGATATATGACGCAGGAAATCAAGGAGGTGTCGGGTGGGACAAGATATGTCACGGCCTGGACAAGCTGTGGGGGGGGAAATGGGTGTATATTGGTATGTTTGTGAATGAATGATGGTGCCCTAAGAGCGGGGAAGAAGCTATATATATATATCTGTGTGTGGCCTGTGCGCAACACGTGACAAGATACCAAGGTACTGCCCGAGATCATCTATCCTCAGCGACCAGAGCAGACCTGACACCTTGGCAAGAACAATACTATGTATGGCATTTGGAGACGGCAAAGCCTTACAGAAATACTATGATCTATCACCTCGCCCGAAAAAATGCCACTTGTACCCAGCGATAACCCGTCCTCCTTCAATGGTGGTGCTTCCTGCGCTTACCGCCGAGCACTTTCCTCCATCACTTCAAGGCGCCATCCCAGCTAGAAGAACCAGCTGACAAACTCGAGAGCGTAGTCTTTCCCGGGGCCCAAGAACCCGACGCCAAATATCAGCCAGGTGACCCACTGTGAGACGTATTCGGGGAAGAGGGTCTGCTCTGTCTGGCCCCGCCCTTCGTACTGAAGGCCGCCAACCTCGCCGCCAACGACGCGGTTTGCGAACCCGCTCAGGCCGTCCCCGTTACCGACACCCATCTCGTATTGTACCAGGATGTGCTCCAGCTCGAACCGCCACTTCTTGTCCCGGGACGGCGAGACAAACTCCAAGGTGTTGCCCGTGTTCTTGTCGGCAAACCTCCCCGAGATGCCGGCGTCAAAGTTGGCGGTGATGCGGGCGTAATCGCCGGTGTCGGATACGTTTCCGACGCGCGTGCCGACCAGGAGCTGGTCGTTGTAGAATAGGTGACCCGAGTAGAACATCGTGCCCCAGTCCTTCCTGGAAGTCACGTGCCAGTAGGTAAAGGTGTAGGGCCCCGCCCAGGCCCGGATGGCTTTCCAGCCCTCGGTGATGCCGAGCCAGCCGTCACTGGCCCAGAGGCGGGTAGAGCCACCCCTGCCGCGGAAGCCCAGCTTCCTGCCCCCCGATACGACGGCGTCCACCTCCATCTCGCCGCTGACCACGGGGATGCTGTAATAGAGCCCGGGCGAGAGTTCGGTCACGCCGGGCTTGTCCCCGCCCTCCGGGTCCCAGAGCGAGCCGTCGGCGTGGACGGGAGGCGTGGTGGCCGACAGCTTGTAGGTGCCGTTGACCCTCCACGAGTCGAACATGAGCTTGATGTGCTTCAGGTCCTTGGTGGCATGGAACGAGTACGACTTGTCGGAGCTGTTCCAGATGCCGGCCGTGTAGGTGGGGCAGTCGATGACGATGGACTCATCGACGTAGTCGAGCTCCCGGACCGACGTGCCGTCGGCGAGATTCATGTAGACTTCCATGCGCAGATTTCCCTTGCCGAAGAAGTGGTACGAATAGTCCCGGGAGAATGACGTTAGGAACAAGGACAGGCCGTTGTGAGAGAGGCCGTCGAATTCCCACTGCTCCCAGTTGGTCCTGTTGATCAAGGGCGTGATCTTGGGCGAGTTGATGTGAGCGTCCGCCGCCGTGGAAAACGTGTTGGGGCCTTCGAGGATATCGAAGGCCTTGCTCCTGCTAATCGTACACGAATCGTCATCCCAGTTCGTCGTAAAATCGTAATCGATAGGAAATGGTTGGGAACCAATGGGAACCTGATACAGGTTTGCAGCGGCAAGGGAGGAGAAGAGCGCCACAAGGGCAAACGTCTTGGACATGGTTCCGCCAAACACTTTGGACATGGTTCCAGACGGATGGGGCAAACGTCGAGCTACTAGCCACTGTCCAGAGAAATGAACGGGGCAGAGAAACGTCCGCTCCTGCTCCCTTTCCCTTTCCCTCTCCCCCAGACCTGACTGACCCTTATACAGCGCGGACCTGGACATGCAAGGTAGTTCGCCTCCCTGCTGGCAGAAAGTCCCGAGGTCTCCATCCACTGGCCCTGGTAACCCTGCGAAGCACTCGGCCAGCTCCGGGAAAAGTCCCGACTGCCCGACTTCAAGCTCCGAATTCCCCAAGCACAACCAGCAATTGCCGCTCTGGGGGCCATTTCTGCCCGAGGCGGAGAGACGTGGTAAGCTCTTCGCCGGAGTGAAAAGCAGAGAGCTGCAGCTGGGCCACGATACCAACCCAGGGCCGTCATGAAGAGTTTGTGCCCTCCCGCCGAGCACCACAACATGGCGACAGCGACTCTCCCAGCGCTTCCATTATCGCGGCAGGCCATCGTGCAGTCGGCCAACCCCGGGTCCTTTGAGCTGTGCACCACTCTACCCATGCCGGACGTCTCGCCCGACCATGTCCTCATCAAGGTGACCGCAGTGGCGGTGAACCACTGCGACTACAAAATGCCGGCGCGCGTCCCTTGTCCCGGCACAGCCAACGGCTGCGACTTTGCCGGCACCGTCGTGCGCCTCGGCGAGTCCGTAGCTCGCACGCCGAGGGGGCTGCGGATCGGCGACCGCGTTGCCGGGGCCCAGATGGGAAACCAGCGCCGCCGGCCCGGGTCGGGTGCCTTTACCGATTACATTGCTGAGAAGCCCGAGAATATGTGGCGCGTGCCCGAGCACCTCTCCTTGGAAGAGGCGGCTTCAATAGGCTGTGCCGTGACCAGCAGCGTGGGGATGGCGCTCTGGTGGGTGATGAAGCTGCCCGGGACGCCCGAGAAGCCCACCGCGGACCCCAAGTTCTTTCTTGTCTATGGGGGCTCTACTGCCAGCGGTACCCTTGCCATCCAATTACTGAAGCTGTGAGTGGCGTGTGATTCTCCCTTTCCCTGTTTGGGCGTGCAGACGCTCGCTCATGAGTGTATGATGATTGATCTGGTGCGTTCCTCAGGTCGGGCTACCGAGTCGTCACGACCTGCTCCCCAAAGAACTTCAAGCTTGTCGAAGAGTACGGTGCCGAGAAGGCCTTTGATTATCGCTCGCCGACGTGTGGGGAGGACATACGGGCATACACCAAGAACACGCTGGAAAACGCGCTGGACATCATCACGGAAGCGCGAACCATCCGCCACTGCTACGCAGCCATCGGGCGTGGTGGCGGCAGATACGTTGGCTTCGAGCTCCTACCCGAGGACCTGATGGCCACGATGCGGAAGGCTGTCAAGGCTGAGTGGGTCATGGGGCTCGAGGTGACCGGGGTGGAGTTGGAACTACCGGGAGGGTATTATCGCAAGGAAAACCCCGAGCTGCACGCCTGGCTTCATGGGTGGATCAGACGCTTCTCCGCCTTGTACGAGACGGGAAGATTAAAACCACATCCCATACAGGTGAATCGGGGCGGACTGGCAAAGGTGATTGATGGCATCGGGGCTTTGTCGCGCAAGGAGGTCTCGGCCCAGAAGCTGGTGTATCCCCTGTACGACTAGGTAGGTCATCTCTAATCGAGTTTGGGGCAAGTTCAAACACCAGCGATGGTCAAGTCAAGGTGCGCTGAGGAAGGCAACTTGAAGCCCAGTGAGAGATAGCATAATTAAAAGCCTGATCTAGACTTGTCGGAAGCTGGGTTTTAGTTACGCGCGGTGGGCTGGTAAGGCAAGAAAATCACGTATCAGAAAATGTCACTGTCACATGATTTGCAAAATTAAAAAAATTAAAAACTTATTCAGAAAGCTAAGAGGGGGTTTGGGGGGTCTTCCCCCAAGGTTTCATAAGTATTCGTGCCTGTAAATGCAATTATCTATAACTTTTGCTTATATATAGTCCGAAAAAAATCACGTATTTAAGTAAAGTCTATTTTCTTAAAAAGGGCCAAGAAAAATTCTCTCCTTATATATTATAACCTTCGGCTTTTATATGCTCTATACATACCTCTAAATAAAGAATTAATTATATCTTAAATTGCCTATATTACTTTTTATATATTCAGGCTTGTAATAGGTATTTCTATTTCAAAAAGCCTAATTTTAGTAAAGCTAGTAACCTTTTCAGAATATATTTTATATACCGGGCATTAAATAAGAAGTTAGCCAGCAAGAAACGCAAGCTTTTATAAGAGCTAGATTTCAATATTATATTTCTTTAATAAAAGAAAGTATATTCGAAAACTTTCTAATTAAAAGCATAATTTATAAGCCAAGAAATATATTTGAAACCCCTAAAAATATACTTAAAATACCAGAAATTATATATAAATCCATTAGTTATTACTTTTATAAGCTTAAAAAATGCTTTATTAGTTTCTAATTAGCCTAAAGTATATTTGAATTTATTAAAATCACGTTTAAAAGCTACTTTTTTATAGCTCTAATAGCTAGAATTTCTTATATTAGAATAATAATAAATAATTTAAAACTTTTATATTATACTAAATAAGATTAAAATAGAGACTTATATATATTATAAGAAGTACTAGTTTGAAATAAATTTGAAAATAAAAGTATATTATAATTATATATTTAGAAATAAAAAAAATAAGATTATATTTCTTATATTTATAAAAAATCTTATATATTTAAATAAGATTTCGGGCTATTTACTAATATTCTTTATAATAAAAGAGATAATTATTACCCGAACTTATATTTAAATAATAATATTTTATAAATAGAATTACTAATATAAATATAAAAAATATTATATTAGTTTTATATAAAATATTATAAAAATAATAAATATCTTATTTAACTTATTTTTAAATCTTAATATTATTATTTTATAGCTCTTAAAAGCTAATTTATAAAATAATTTCAGGTATTAGAACTAGTTTCAAATAAAGTTTTATATTTATAAGAAGCTAATTCTTATATAGCTTTATTATTTATAAGTTTATTATAATAATTATAAATATATTCGGGTTTATAAAAAATATATTATAAGTTTTTTACTAAATAATAATATTTCTATCTTCTTTTTAATTCTTATAATTAATAATATAAATAAGAGAAGTTTTAAAAACTAGCCAAAATTTGAATTAAATATTAGGCTATATTAATAGTTTATAATTTATAATTTTAATACTAATATTATAAAGTTAAATATAATTTTAAATAAGCTTTCTAAATAAATTCTTTAATATATAAATTCTTATAATATTTTATTTAATATAATTTATATTATTTCTTTAAATAAGATATTTTTAAAAAAAAAACTTTTTATTATAGTTTTTTAATATTATATTTATATAATATAGCTAATTTTAATTATTTTTATATTCGAAAAATAAAATTAATAAATTATATTTATTATCTAATATATTTTTATAATAAAAAGTTCTTATAATATATTTATTAGTAATATTTTATTTTTAATATAATTATATATTAAAAAACTAAAGAAATAGCTAGATTTTATATTTTTAAAGCCTTAAATATTAAGAATCTAAATTATAAAAAACTAGTTAATATTTTATATAAAAATAATTCTTTATTATCTTAAATTATATATTAAAAATATAGCTTTATAAATATATATTTATTCTAATAAAATAAATATATAATAAATAAACTTATATTATTATTTTCCGGAATTTATAAATATAATTAATTTACTAAATTATAAATAATACTTATAAATCTAGTAAAAAGTATAAGAAAACTATTATAGATATAGTATTTAAGATTTAAAAAACAAAATAAAAGATCTTTTATAAAGATAATTTAAAGCTAAAAAAAAGAAAACTAGAATATAAAAAGTTATAAAAAAGTATATATATTTTATAATATATTAGCCTATAAGAAACTTAGCCTTTTAAATATCTCTAATATATTTTAAGTATATTTCTTTAGTAAAATAATTATATTATATATATTATTAAGAAAACAGGTTATATAGTATTATATATAGATATAATACTATTATATAGACTAGTAAAATTATAGCTCTATAAGAATCTATAATCTTTCTTTCTCTTTTTCTTTCTTTAATTAATATAATCGAGTTTTTTCTTTTATCTCTATTTCTATTATATTATTTCTTTATTAGATTATATCTAATTAAGAGATATATTTTTAATAAATTATAAAGCTCCGGTTTACTTAGATATTTAGGGAAACTATATATTAAATACTTCGTTTATATAATATAAAGGTACTATATAATTAATATAAGGGAAAATATAACTTTTATTATAAAGCTTTATAAGAGAACTCAAGTAAATATTATAATATTTAATATAAGAAAAAACAGAAATTTATTAAGCTAAAGATATAAGAAAAAATAGTAATATACTAGTAAATAAATATAGCTAGTAAGCTATAAATATTTTCACTTTTATTACTAATAATTCTATAACTATAAAATATTAAACTATTATTTCTCTATAACTATAAAATATATTATTATAAATAATAAAGAATATATTTCTAAACTCGAGCTTTTAAGCTAATTAAATTATAAAATATAATTCCGCAAAATATTACTAAAGCTTTATACTAAAGAAGTCTAATATATTATTAAATTAGATAAGAAGATATATATTATAGATATAATATTTATAATACTTATAATACCCGATATACTAATTAAAGAAAAAGATAGGAATAAAATTAATAAAGTAATATAAGAAATAGTAAAATTAAAGCTTAAAAAGAACTTTATAAAGCTTAAAAAGAAACTTACTTAATATAATAAAGATAAAGCCATTGCCTTATATTATATTATTTAATTACTTTCTAATAAAGATATTACTAAAGTTAATAAGCTAATTTATATTAAGGCAATATAATAATTCCTTAAAATAAAATATTACTAATTCTCTTTAATTAAAGTTATAATAATAATTGTAATATATGCAGGGTCGCACGTGACTTAAGAGCATGTGACGAACCTCGGATATCGCGGGTATTAATCAGGGAGATCGGCGGCCCTTTAATGCCACAACTAACTACTATTTACATTATATGTATTAGGCTTATAAATTACTAATTATATATATGCCATCGGGGCCTCCTATTTAGAGGGGGCTTCCCTGGACCTTATAGGAGGGACAGAGATTAGTTCTATACTGAATTTGATACTATGATTTCACAACTCACTAATTCATTCTATTATCTTATTACCTACTAATAAACACCTTATAATAATTTAGAAAATCTAGAGCTTTAAATATATAAAGAAAAAGAAAATATACTTTAAATAAGCTAAAATAAAGAAATATTATTATAGATTTAGTTTTATAAATCCTATAATAAAAAATATATATTTCGATTTTATATTATTTATAATATTTAGTATAAAGCTATTAAATAAATATAAAATAATTATTAATAGGTTTTATATAATAATAATATATAATATAAATAAAAAGATTAAGATTTTAGTAAATAAGGAAAATAACCTTAAAATATATATTATATTAGAAAGTACTTTTATTATTTATAATACTTATAGCTATTTCTTTTAGTACTATTATTATTATTATTACTAGTTCAATTTCTTAAAAAATAAAAAAGTAAGGTATTATATATATAAAAAATATAATTACTTTATATATAATTATTTATATCTTAATATTATATATAAAGCTATTAGAGCTAATTAAAAGAAGTTATTATTCTATTTCTTTTTTTAGAAGAATATTTTATTTAAATAATTATGAAAGCTAGCTATTATTAAAGCTATTTAAGAAAGTTAAGATTCTAATAGCTACTAATAATTTCAAGTAAAATATTATATTTATTAAGAAATCCGATTCTAAGATAAATACCGAAACCGAAACTATTTTATTTTCTTAAAATAATATTAATAAATATTTGGGTTTCTGGCTATTTGACTCGGTCTATATTATATATATAACTAACTAATCTTTTTACTTTAGGTCTATATTAGTTTCTATTAAATATATATTAATTTAGATTAAAAGAAAAATATTATATATTAGATAAAAAGAAATTATAAAGATATATATATTAAATAGAATTTTAATACTAGTTTTTAATTATCTTTTTATACCGGATCTAGATATTAGTTTCTTATTAGTAAGGTACTTATATAAAACAAATCTTAAAAAAGAAATTAATTATAAAAAGTTATATTTTAGATATAAAATAAAAATAATTATAAAAATAAGAATAACTAATAGATTTTACTTTATTTCTTATATAATATTAGAAAAAGAAAAGCAAGTTATATTTATATTAATTAAAATTAATATATAAGATACTAACTCTTATAAATAGCTAATTATAAAGCCGAATAATAAGGAAATTAGAAATAAGAGTATTAAATAAAAAAGAAAGAATCTAAAACCTCTAACTATTTATTTATATTAGACTTTAATAGAAATAGCTATTAATACTAAATATAAGCTTATATATAGAAGATTTAGTTATTTTAAACTAAATAAACTATATTATTTTTATAAAATTATAACTTTTAATAAAGTATTTTAGATTTTATATAATATTAAACTCTATAAGATCTATTTTCTAATAAAAATAAAAAATAAGATTCCGAAAATACTTAGCCTATAGAAGACTATAATCTTAGCTTTAATTTAATTTAATATAATAGGCCTATTTCTAATCTTTATTAATAGTTATAA